TCCTTCAGCTCTACCACCTCTGAAACTCCCCACATCCCCAGCTTTGCTCTTCCCCCTAAAGGAAATGCCTAATGGAGGTGATGCCACTAGGGTTCAAGTTCCCTTCTCATTGCAGAACATTAGGCAAATAAAAGGAGACTTAGGCCAATTTTTTGACAACCCTAATAGGTATACAGAAGCTTTCCAAAATTTAACTCAGGTGTTTGACTTCTCATGGAGGGATGTTATGCTGCTCCTAGATGAAACCCTAACCCCAGCTGAAAAACAGGCAGTCCTGAAGGCAGCAGAGAAATTCAGAGATGAGTAGTATGTCTCCTATAGTAGGCCAAAAAGGAAAACAGAAAATAGGAAGAGTGAAGAAAGGAAGAATGAAGAACCATCATTTCCAATAGAAAGAGAGGCAATACCTCTTGACAACCCTGATTGGAACCCCAGTGACACCACAGATGAATGGAAAAGGAAAGCTTATTAATGTGTGTATTGGAGGGTCTACAAAGAACTAGGGCCAAACTCCTTAATTACTCTAAACTGTCCATGATAGACCAAAAGCCAGATGAGACTCCCACAGCCTTTATGGAAAAGCCAAGAGAGGCACTAATAAAACATACCTCCTTATCTCCTGATTCAGTCAAGGGACAGCTCATCCTAAATGAGAAGTTTATTACACAAGCAGCTCCTGATATTAGAATGAAACTGCAAAAGCAGGCTATAGGACCAGACAGCATCTTGGAGAACCTGTTGAGAGTGGCTACCTTGGTTTTTTATAATAGGGATCAGGAGGGGGCCCAAGAGATAGAGAGGAAGCACGAGAGAAGGACAGAAGCTCTAGTAGCTTGCAATATGTAGTAGCTTCTTTGCAGGTGTGCAAAGTCCAGGATCCCCAAGGTGCATCTGGTAGTTGCTACTGATGTGGCAAGTCAGGGCACTTTAAGAAGGAGCACGCAGGCAGCAAGAAAAAGCCACCTGGACCCTGTCCAGCCTGTGATGGAGACCACTGGAGAATGGACTGCACCCAAAGATGGAGGTCACTGGGTTCAGAACCAATCTCATAGATCAACCAACATGGGATGGGGCTTGGGGTTCAAACCACCAGATCCAGTGGCTCAAACTGCCATGACAGCACAGGAACCCTCAGTGATTCTGGAAATTGAAGGAAGGAAGGTGGACCTCCTTCTGGACACTGGAGCCAGACTTTCTCTTTTCCTCTCTGATCCAGGCTTTCCCTCTTCCCATGGCATAACTGTGAGGGACGTTTCAGGGAAGGTTCTGACCTGATATTTTTCTCAACCCCTGAGCTGTAGTTGGAGGGATCTATTATTTATGCATGCCTTCTTTTTTTTTTGAGACGGAGTTTCGCTCTTGTTACCCAGGCTGGAGTGCAATGGCGCGATCTCGGCTCACCGCAACCTCCGCCTCCTGGGTTCAGGCAATTCTCCTGCCTCAGCCTCCTGAGTAGCTGGGATTACAGGCACGTGCCACCATGCCCAGCTAATTTTTTGTATTTTTTAGTAGAGACGGGGTTTCACCATGTTGACCAGGATGGTCTCGATCTCTTGACCTCGTGATCCACCCGCCTCGGGCTCCCAAAGTGCTGGGATTACAGGCTTGAGCCACTGCGCCCGGCCACCTATGCACTTTTAAGTGAAACATGCTGCTTCTGGATCAGCACCTCTGGTCAAGCAGAAGAGAACCTGCAGGTGCTTAAAGACTAGTTAGAATCATCGGCAGATTAAGAGAAAATGTGGATTCCAGTCTTCTTCATGGGTTGGTTAGCTCCTTTACTGAGCTCCCTCTTGCTTGTGTGTTTTGTACTAATATTTGGACTTTGTATACTCAAGGACCTTGTCACTTGAAGCATTTCCTCTCACCTAGAAGCTATTGAACTCCAAATGGCACTGCAGATGGAATCATGCATGGACATGGCATTCTTCCGAGGACCCTCAGATCGGCTCCAGGAGGCAGCCCTAGCTGCTGTTCCCCACTTGACGCCCCTCTTCAAGTAGGAAGTATAGTGAGGGTAAAGGAGTCCTCAGCAATCTTCCCTTTTAACAAAGTGCAGCCCCAAATCCTTTCTTTTCTAACAAAGAGCAGCCTGAAAAATTGAGCTGCAAACATACGTGAGCAAGCTGGGGCTTGCACAGAGTGATGCTGGCAGCTGTGCCAGGAGAAAGAAGCTACTGAGGCCAGGCGTGGGGCAATCCCAACACTTTGGGAGGCCAAGGCGTGTGCATCATGAGGTCAGGACTTCAAAACCAGCCTGGCCAAGGTGGTGAACCCCATCTCTACTAAAAATACAAAAAAAGTAGCCGGGCGTGGTGGCAGGCGCCTGTAATCCCAGCTACTTGGGAGGCTGAGGCAGAGAATCGCTTGAACCTGGGAGGTAAAGGTTGCAGTGAGGTGAGATCGAACCGCTGCACTCCAGCCTGGGTGACAGAGTCTGTCAAAAAAAAAAAAAAAAAAAAAAAAGCTACTGAGAGCCAGTTATGTTCAGCAGGGAGGCTCCGTCTTCCCTTTTGTCACCACATGTACAGTAAAAAAGCAGGCAACATGGCACCGAGCCAGGTAGAGAATCTGTCTGCATGATAAAAGATGAGGGTGGGGCAGCCCACTTCTTTGTGCCATATGCAAACAGCACACCTAGTCCTAAGCAGTTCTTTGCACGCTATGCAAATGACACACCTGGTTCGACCAATCGTTCATGCCCTATGTAAACTAGACACCACCTCCTCAAGCTAACCTATAAAACCTCCCGCGCTTCACTGCTGATGGAAGAGCTGCTTCGGACCCCCTCTTTCTTTCGCCTACTAAACTTCTGCTTTTAACCTCACTCCGTGTGTCTGTGTCTTTGATTTCCTTGGCATGGGACAAGGAACTTGTGTATTACCCCAGAACGATGCCACTTCACCAGTATGTTGCCCAGGCTCGTCTCCAACTCCTGGGCTCAAGCAATGTTCCCGCCTTGGCCTCCTAAAGTGTTATTGTTACAGGCATGAACCACTGTGCCTAGTCTGAAAACTTTTCTTCAGAGTAACAGGCTATGTCAGTGTTCTGCTTGAACAGTCTACTAAACTCATCAGGTTTGGGGGATCCAAAGGAACTGTCCATTATCCTCAGCCATCAGCAAAAAGAAAAGGCCCTTTGCTAAGTTATTTTTGTAAGCACGTAATGTTGCCGGGCCTGGTAATCACCAGGAATCATTCCACGCCCGGTGTCCTTAACACCAGCATTCACGATCTAAAAACTTGGCTTTCTAGTATTTTTCGTTTTGTTTCAACCACATTCTTCCTGGTACTTTCAAATTCCTTGATTCCTGTGTTAGTTCAAGTCTACGGAGAAGCAGATGTCAAGACTAGATCTGAAAGAGTCTTATTAGAGAAGGAAACAGAGGCAGGACAAACCTTCAGACTGACTGCAGGTCTGACTATGGAAGGAGAAAAGGAAGGAAAGAGGATTGTAGCAAAATTCGGCCAGGTCGCCGGCAGATTTTGAGCCAAAACTGCCAGTTGGAGGTCTGTATGTCACCAGAATGGGCCTGCATCAGTGCCTCTACAGCACTGAGTCACTGGCTTGGAGCACATGCAGAAAGCACAGCCTCTGCATGAGCAGAGTGGTGGATTCGGAGGGGTAGTATCTGGGGATCTGTCAACTGTGCTCCACAAAACTGGAGATTTGGCAACATCGCCACTCTTCTTAGGCTGCATCTATCCCCATGAAAGACATCGAGTACCAGATTAATTTCTCACTCTACAATTAATGGAGATCATTTAAATGCTGACAAAGCATCCCTTTAACACACTTTTAAAATTGTCTCATCATCCATGGTCCCCATTGCTCTAGCCCCACTGTTGAAACTCACGCAATAGCAGAGAACACTGAAGCCACTATACATGGCCCTCCATAGCATCCCTTAATTCTGATTGTCCATAGCAGTTTTACAGCAGTTACTACAAATCTTTGTCCTTCTCAGCTCCTCTTCTATTCTGTCTCAAGTAACACTGCTTGTGCTTTCTCAGACAATATGGCACCTATAGGGCATTCATTTATCTAACAAGAACACTTGTCAATTTCTTTCATGTAAGCCAAGAGCAAAATGTGCTTTACTGGTCTTTGGACCCCATCCCTTTTCCTAAAACCACGTTGATCCCTCCGAGCTGTATTTAAAATACTCCTCCGCTGACTTCATTCTAGTTAAACTTTTTTTTTTTTTTGAGACAGTCTCACTGTGCTGCCTAGGCTGGAGTACAGTGAAGCGATCACAGCTCACTGCAACCTTCGCCTATTGGGTTCAAGCGATCCTCCTGCTTCAGCTTTCCAAATAGCTGGGATTACAAGTATGTACCACCATGCCAGTTAATTTTTTATATTTCTAGTAGAGATGGGGTTTCGCCATGTTAGCCAGGCCAGGGTCTTGAACTCCTGACCTCAGGTGATCCACCTACCTTGGCGTTCCAAAGTGCTGGGATTACAGGTGAGAGCCACCATGACTGACCCACTATAGTAACTATTTTTTGTTTAAGTGACGGGTCTCACTACGTTACCCAGGCTGCAATACAGCGGTTCTTCACAATAGATAGCTCACTGCAGCCTCCAACTCTTGGGCTGAAGTGATCCTCTCACATCAGCCCCCTGAGTTGCTGGGACTACAGGTACCTGCCACCATGCCCAGCTAAGTTTTATAAAATTTTTTAGAAACAGGGGGTTTCACCATGTTGCCCGCAGGCTAGACTCATGGGTTCGGGTGTCTTCCCATCTCGATCACCTGAGTAGCTGGGACTACAGGTGCACACCACCATGTCTGGTGAGAAAAATACTCTTAATTCCATTTAGGTTCATGTAAAGATCTCACTTCAGAGGAGTTTTCTTGATAGAACGAAAGTGCAGGAGACTTTTCAGTAACACAGACTGAATTATTCACCAAAACCATATTGACTATACGTGACAGAACTAAAACGGAGTAAATCAGGGTCAGTATTTACAGACCAGAAGAAATTTAAAAAACCCTTATTTAAAATATTTTAATTCCTAAAAAAGTTTAAATCATATTAAAATTTAAACAATTCCATTGTACAGCACTTGACAATACATGTCAACAAACTGAAAGGTAAAGCAAATCAGTACATCAGCTTTGTTTACTTTCTAAGCTTAACAATGTGCAGACTCTTGCTCCTGAAGATGCGAAAGTCAGCAGTACTGAAATATTAAAATAGGAATCTGACAGAAAATGAACTCAATCTGATCAAAGCCAATTAATTCAAGTTTTCATTTATTCAGTTGTGAAGAAAACAGCAGCTACTATTTCATCCAATATGCCAATGATATCAACCTCAGAAGAAATGATCTGTCTGGCTGTGCAGAACAAGAACGGTTGTCTTTTGCTGAAAGGACGTGAGTTTTTCGAATTTGGTTTTCAAGTCATGGTCTCCAAATAAATAAACTGCTCCACCCAATGTCTTGACAGTCTAGTCGTTATATCTGCCTTCCAGCCCGTCATCATATAGCCATTTATAAGCATAACCTTTGGAAGACTGTATAGTTTCAAAAAGTCGTTTGAAGTCTTGAGGGTACCAGTTAGTTACTTTATCTTCTTTCGTTTTTCCTATTTGCCTCAATATATCTTCTGCATCAAGTGGAGTCAGTGAACTGCAAAACAAATACAAAGTAAATGTGCTTCATTCTTTTTCATGCACTGTTAGTTAATAGAGACAAAAACGGCTTCCAAGTGGAATTTAAAATGTCTAACTTAAGCATACAGAGCGCTGTAATGGACATGGGAGGATCGGCAGGGAGGAGGATAGGAGGAGGGTAAGGGATAAAAAGCCACCTGCTGGGTACAATGTACACTATTTGGGTGACGGGTCCACTAAAAGCCCCTACTTCATCACTGCATAGTTCATCCATGCAACCAAAAAACCACCTGTATTCCCAAGGCTATTGAAATAAGAAAACAAACAAATAAAAAACAGTTGAACTTACATATAAGCAATCTTATTTAGTTTTAAGAGGTTGCAATAACTTTATGTTTATTTCTAAAGTTTCATGGCTAACCTATAATGAAAGTATTAATTGTTGCAGCTTTAGGCTTTAACATATCGTAAGCAATTTTTACACAAAATCCCAGTTTAATAACTGCCCTTTAACAAAATTATTCTGTCTACCTCTTTCATCCTTTTCCTTTCTGCCAAAAAATATTCTTAACTTCTTTCAGTTCATGTCAAAGTTCAGTAAGTACAAACAGCAGAAGTTGCTGTTAGGCAGTTTACAAAGAGGGAATCACTTTACATTTTGATGTAATTGTCATTGGCAAATTAACTATAAATCAGCAAACTTCCTTATACAGTCATGCACTGCTTGGTGATGGAGGTATGTTCTGAGAAGCACCCTGTTCGGTGATTTCACTGTTGCTTGAACATCTTAGAGTGTACTTAAGACAAACCCAGGTGGTATAGCCTACTACATACTTAGGATATATGGCATAGCTATGGCTCCAAGGCTACAATCCCGTGCAACATATTACTGTACTGAATACTGTGGGCAACGGTAACATGATGGTAAGAAATAGAAAAGACGAAGTAAAAACAGAGCATCAGAATCTTATGCAACCACTATTGCACATCAGGTCTACCACGGACTGCAATGCCACTATGAGGTATATAACTGTATATCAGCTTAGCAAGAAACCACTAATAAGCCTCTGACAACAGTTAAGTAAACAACTACAAAAAAAATATTTGGGGCTGGGTGTGGCGGCTCACAACTGTTATCCCAGCACTTGGGGACGCTAGGTGGGAGGATCATGTGAGCCCAAGAGTTCAACGCTATCCTAAGCAACAAAGTGAGACCCCCATCTCTACAAAAAATGTAAAAGGTTAGCTCAGCATAGTGGTGGGCACAGCAGTCCCAGCTACTCAGGGAAGAGGCTGAGGCAGGATCACTTGGGCCCCGGGGTTTGTGGTTGCATTGAGCTATGATTGTGCCACTGTCCTCCAGACTGGGCAACAGAGTGAGACTCTGTCTCTTAAATTCCAGTACTTTTTGACATTGAATAGAATCTTGGTAGCACATTTCTAACCCACTGAGAGTACCAGGAGCATTCTTAACATTTTGGACCATGATTTATTACATTTATTCCTTATTTCCCTATTTTCTTGATATTTTCATTCAAACTAGCCACCACAAGGTAGCAAGATAAAAAATAATAGATTGCCTTTTACTAATCTATTACCACTTCTTCTTTTAGAGATAGAGTCTTGCTGTGTCACCCAGGCTCGTCTCAAACTCTTGGTGACCCTCTCTGCCTCCCAATTCTTTCTTTCTTTTTTTTTTAGAGACAAGGTCAACTTGCTGTGTGCCCCACATGAGAGTGCAGGTGAGTTCACAGCTCACTACAGCCTCCAACTCCCGGCCTCCTCAAGTGTCCTCCCACCTTGGCCTCACAAAAAGTGCTGGGATTATAGGCATGAGCCACTGCACCCGGGCTATTGCCACTTTTAACATTCATTTTTACATAAATATTGTCAGTCAACAGCTCATTCAAATTAGTTATATGATCAAATTAGTTAAAATAATTATTTTAACATTTTACTCATCCTCTGGCAATACTTTGGGCTATGGGCTGCTGATTACAAGGCATGATGTGCAACTTACAGAGACGTATGCACCAGCCCTATATACAAATGACGTGGTGACTCATGCTTGTAACCCCAGCACTGTGGGAGGCCAAGCCGGGTGGACTGCTTGAGGCCAGGAGCTCAAGACCAGCCTGGGCAACACAAGGAAACCTCATCTCTACAAAAACTGGCGTACAATTTACAAATATAAATCTAAAAATTTTATATATTTACAAATATAAAAATTAGCCAGGTATGCTGGTGCATGCTTGCTAGTCCCAGCTACTCGGGAGGCTGAGGTGGGAGGATCACTTGAGCCTGGGAGGTCAAGGCTGCAGTGAGCTGAGACTGTGCCACTGCACTCCAGCCTGGACAACATGGCGAGACCTTTTTCTAACAACAAAAATATAGACACAAACCAAGTAGTATTACTTACAAGCTATTATTATGACAAAGATTTAGGTAAAAACATAAAATCTGATCCAGAGCAAGGGAACCAGGGTGATATAATTATCTGTCCCTACTTTGGTTAAGAAACAGAGCCACTGAAGACAAGTGATGAGAGGGAACTGGGCCTGCCTCCAGGAAGGCTGTTCTCCACCCCAGCTCGTGGCGAGCGGCGAGTGCCTCCTGTAAGGTAGAGCTAGGCCTACATGCCGAAAAAGAAAAAACAACGTGTAGGCATCCCTGTGCATTTTTCAAAGAAAGAAAATAAATGAAACTCACTAAGAGATTAGGGGGGAAATGTATTTTCCTCAAAATGTACATCACGGAGAAGAAATTATTTTGAAGAAATGCATAAGGGAGGCCAGGTGCAGAATCCCAGCACTCTGAGAGATTGAGGTGGGCAGTACTGAGGTCAGAAGTTCGAGACCAGCCTGGCCAACAGAGTGAAACCCCGTCTCTACTAAAAATACAAAAAAATTAGCTGGGCGTGGTGGTGGGCACCTGTAATCCCAGCTACTTGGGAGGTTGAGGCAGGAAAATCACTTGAACCTGGGAGGTGGAGTTTGCAATGAGCTGAGATCGTGCCATTGCACTCCAGCCTGGGCGACCATGGGAGACTCTGTCTCACACACAAAAACAATATATGAGGGAAAACATGGTACCTCAATCTGTTAACCAAGATATAAAAAATAGACCCCTAACATAAAAGAATAATCTGTGCATCAAATTGCTACTCTTCACTTGCTTTTATTCTTCTTACTTACCGTAAGTGGTCTATTATAGGGCATTTGCGTTTCCCAAAACAGTGCTTTACCATGTGAATAAATACTTGATAGCTCAAAGGTGTTAAGTTCTCTGTAAATAAATCTTTACAAGGAGTAATTTGAATAAAATACAGCTTTTCTTGTGATGGTTCTAATAATTCCTGGAGAGAAGGGAAATGAATTGTATTAGTCACAAAATATTGCCAGAGTAAGACACTGTTGGCTTATTCCTGCTTAAAGACACAATTACCACAAGCCCTGAGAGTCTCTGAATGTTCTTATTGGGTCCACCAAGAACACAAAGCCCTAACTGCTCTTTACTTGGGCCACTTCTCAGAGTTGTTTGCAATGAGTAACCTTGAGGGAGGAGATAATATCTCTCTCCAGGACCAAGAACAGGCTTGTGGCTGGGCGTGGTGACTCATGCCCGCAATCCCAGCACTTTGGGAGGCTGAGGCAGATGGATCACTTGAGCTCAGGAGTTCGAGACCAGCCTGGCCAATACGGTAAAACCTCACCTCTACTAAAAATACAAAAATTAGTCCCGAGCATGGTGGTGGACACTTCAGGTGGCTGAGGCAGGAGAACCACTTGAACCTGGAAGGCGGAGGTTGCAGTGAGCCAAGATCACACAATTGCACTCAAGTGCAGGCGACAGAGCAAGACTCCATGTCAAAAACAAAAAAACAAAAACACCTTGCCTAAATAACAGAATGATCACAGTCTAACAAGATTTAAGAAAAACATGTTGTAGTTAAATAATATACATCTCTCTCCTTAATTTTTTTGTTTGAGACGGAGTTTCGCTCTTGTTACCCAGGCTGGAGTGCAATGGCGCGATCTTGGCTCACCGCAACCTCCGCCTCCTGGGTTCAGGCAATTCTCCTGCCTCAGCCTCCTGAGTAGCTGGGATTACAGGCATGCGCCACCATGCCCAGCTAATTTTTTGTATTTTTAATAGAGATGGGGTTTCACCATGTTGACCAGGATGGTCTCGATCTCTTGACCTCGCGATCCACCCGCCTTGGCCTCCCAAAGTGCTGGGATTACAGGCTTGAGCCACTGTGCCCGGCTTCTCCCTAATTTTTTTAAAGAGGAGGAGGATGATCAAAAGTCTACCCAAATACTAGTAACTTAAAATTTTCCTTACTTAAAATTGACTTGCCCTTTATGTAATTATGCAAACACGCATTTTAGCTGTAATTTTTACCAGTCAACATTTTCATTTCACAGTTAGAATCAGCCGTTTCAGAGGCAGTAGATTAAAGCTGAGGATTTGTTTGTCCTACTTCAGTGGAAAAGCTTATTAATCAAACTATCTGAATATGTTAGGACATATATGGAAATACACAAATAAGGGCACTAGAGTCAGGTGCTGTGGCTCATGCCTGTAATTCCGGCACTTTGGAAGGCCAAAGCTGGAGGATCGCTTGAGCCTGGGAGCTGGAGTTTGCAGTGAGCCAAGACTGCGCCACTGCACTCCGGCCTAGGCGACAGAGTGAGACTCTGTCCCAAAACAACAACATAAAAAAGGATCACTATTTTTTTGTATTTATCTTTTGTAATATAATTTTGTGCATAAAGCAATATTAAAAGATGATCTGGTCAGGCACAGTGGCTTATGCCTGTAATCCCAGCACTTTGGGAGGCCGAGGTAGGAGGATAACTTGAGCTCAGGGGTTTGAGACCAGCCTGGGCAACATGGTGAAACACTATCTCTTTAAAAAGTACAAAAATTCGTTGGGTATGCAGGCTGGGCATGGTGGCTCGTGCCTGTAATCCTAGTACTTTGGGAGGCCAAGGAGGGTGGATCATGAAGGAGTTCGAGACCATCCTGGCCAACATGGTGAAATCCTTGTCTCTACTAAAAATACAAAAATTAGCTGGACGTGGTGGCAGGCACCTGTAGTCCCAGCTACTCAGGAAGCTGAGGCAGGAGAATCAGTTGAACCTAGGAGGTGGAAGTTGCAGTGAGCTGAGATCATGCCCCTGCACTCCATCCTGGGCAACAAAGGGAGAGTCCATCTCAAAAAAAAAAAAAAAAAAAAAAAAGATCAGCTGGGTGTGGTGTGGTATGCGCCTACAGTCCCAGCTATTCCCGAGACTGAGGCATGAGAATTGCTTAATCCTGGAGGCAGAGGTTGCAGTGAGCTGGGATTGTGCCAATGCACTCCAGCCCGGGTTGACAGAGTGATACCGTGTCTCAAAATAAAAAACTGACCCACCTGAAAAATTATTCTCTATTAAAAAAACTAGACATACCCATACTCATATATTATAAAATAAGAGTGGATTAAAATAGATCTGACATAGGCTTAAAAGACTAAACAATATTGAACATAAGATCTGAAAGGCTATTGTCAAAATAGTAATTTTTTTTTTTTTTTTTTTGAGACGGAGTTTCGCTCTTGTTACCCAGGCTGGAGTGCAATGGCGCAATCTCGGCTCACCGCAACCTCCGCCTCCTGGGCTCAGGCAATTCTCCTGCCTCAGCCTCCTAAGTAGCTGGGATTACAGGCACGCACCACCATGCCCAGCTAACTTTTTGTATTTTTAGTAGAGACGGGGTTTCACCTTGTTGACCAGGATGGTCTCGATCTCTCGACCTCGTGATCCACCCGCCTCGGCCTCCCAAAGTGCTGGGATTACAGGCTTGAGCCACCGCGCCCGGCCCAGTAATTTATTATTAACTACAGGGGCAATGACAGTGGAATTAAAAATAGATCTGTTACCAAAGTGTGAACTTCCTAGCACTTCCAGGAATGTCACTTTCAGTGAGGGAAGACAAAGCACTATCCGCGGAGTACGATGGGCTGCCATTTCCTACATACCTGGTCTAGCCTCAGCAGCCTTCCCCTCATCAGGGACAGTCAGGAAAACCCACAAGACACTGGGAATTGAGTTCAACAACTTAGTCTACAGTTATAGAAACACAGTGGAGCAAGTGTAAAGAAATGTTAGGTCTAGAAAGACCTTCCCTTTATGGAGTTTAGTAAATGGCGAAACCTAACACAGGACCTTTGAAAAGCAACACTAAGGGAACAGGAAGATGCCAACCTTATTCCTCAAGCTGAAGTCCTCAGAAGGCCTCTATGAAGAAACTACCTGAAAGCTACAAGGACAGAGGCTTGAGATGAAAAGATGACAGAATGAGACAAGATCAGTGGGCAAAGAGGCATTTTAGAGAAACCAAGAACTATCGCAGTAAGAGTACAATACACAGTGCAGGCAGAAAGCTGAATCAGTGATGTGAAGACTAAGTGTGAAAAGATTCTGGGAAGAGAGAAAAATGATGAGAGCATGATGGATACTAAAGAAAAGGATCAGAGATCCAACCTAAGAACCTCAAATGTTTTTGAGTTAAAAAAAAAAAAAAAAGGAACAAAAGCTAGAATCAAATGATATAACATTCCTGAGCCTAAAAAAAAAATACAGCTAGGTGCACAGACTGAAGACCTCAGCATATTCTCAGGCAAAAGCAGTGAAGAGAATACGTGAAGATCCACACCGCAAAAATTAAAAATTAGAGCCAGGCTTGGCACAGTGGCTCACGTCTGTAATCCCAGTACTTTAGGAGGCCAAGGCAGGCGAATCACTTGAGGTCAGGAGTTCAAGACCAGCCTGGCCAACGTGGTGAAACTCCCACCTCTAATAAAAATACAAAAATTAGCTGGGCGTGGCGGCACACACTTGCAGTCCCAGCTACCTGGGAAGGCTGAGGCAGGGGAATCACTTGAACCCAGGACGCAGAGGTTGCAGTGAACCAAGATTGCACCACTGCACTCTAGTCTGGGTGACCGAGTAAGACTCCATCTCAAAAAAATAATAAATAAAAATAAAACAAAATTAGAGCCAGGTGCAGTGGGTCATGCCTGTAATCCTGGTGATCTGGGAGGCTAAGGTAGGAGGATCACTTGAGGCCAAGAGTTCATGACCAGGCTGGGCAATATTTTCAAAATTTTAAAACTTAGCCAGGCATGGTGGCACATGACTATAGTCTCAGCTACTCCAGAGGCTAACGTGAGAGGATCACTTGAGTCCAGTAGTTCAAGGCTGCAGCAAGCTATGATTGTGCCACTGCTTCCAGCCTGGGCAACAGAGTGAGACTCTGTCTCTAAAGAAAACTCTTTTTTAAATAGAAGGATTTTACTCACCTTGTGCAGAACCTTAATGTTACAAGCTATTTGCCAGAGAACACTTAATACCTGATACAAGTCTGGATTTCTGGGATCTGCCATTAGTTTCTAGTAAAAGGAAAATAAAAATTACATGTTATACACACCTATAAGGAATCAAAATCAAATGTTGAATCTTAACAGTACTATCTTAATAGCATCTAGACATTTAAGTAAAGAAAACTAGAATGAGAAGCAAAAAGCCAGGTGCAGTGGTGTGTGCCTGTAGTCCCAGCTACTCAAAAGGCCGAGGCAAGGGGATTGCTTAAGCCCAGGAGTTTGGGGGATTCAGTGTGACATGACTGTGCCTGTGCATAACCATGGAACTTTGGCACAGGCAACAAATAGCAACCATGGTGGGTCACGCTTGTAATTCCAGCACTTTGGGAATGGGAGGCCAAGGTGGGAGGGCTGCTTGAGCCTAGAAGTTCAAAACCAGTCCTGGGTAACAGTGAGACCCCATCTCTTAAAAAACAACACATTAGGGCTGACCTTAAAGGACGAGAGGCTACCTCAGCGAAGGAGAAGGCGCTACAGAGAGAAGAAGCCAAGTGTGAAAAGGTCCAGGGCAAAAGCAGCATGGGCCACTGGAATATAATCCCAGCAGCAGGGAATCTCACAAAGTATTTCCTATTTTCCTTCTTTTCATTCCTTTGTTAAATATTATATGCACAGCCTCACGGTTCTGAGGCCCCTGCTGGCTTCCCATGGCTAGTATTTACTAAATGGGTCTGGGTGAGTAGACCATTTTTTCATTTTTTGCCCCGCTATCCTAACCCATAGCCATACAAATAATCTTATTTGAGTCTTAATAGCACTATCTTAATAGCATCTAGAAATTTAAGCAGAGAAAACTAGAATTAGATGCAAAAAGCTGGATGCAGTGGTGTGCGCCTGTAGTCCCAGCTACTCGAAAGGCTTAGGCAAGGGGATTGCCTGCGCCTAGGAGTTTTTGGGGTTCGGTGTGAGATGATGGTGCCTGTGAAAAGCCACAGCACTCCAGCACAGGCAACACAGCAAGACAAGTAAGCATTTCCTGTGAAACTGGATTCACAGATTAATAACATGAAAGATCCTGGCAGAAGAGAAAGATTACACTCATAGCAATATCACGGTTGTCAGGAAGACCTTTCATTACAGAGAATTATTATTTTTATTCTATTTTATGTTATTTTTTGAGATGGAGTCTTGCTCTGTCGCCAGGCTGGAGTGCAATGGTGTGATCTCTGCTCACCACAACCTCTGCTTCCTGGGTTTAAGCGATTCTCCTGCCTCAGCCTCCAGAGCAGCTGGGATAACAGGTGTGTGCCACTGTGCCTGGCTAATTTCTCTCTCTCTCTCTCTCTCTCTTTTTTTTTTTTTTGAGTCGTCTCACTCTTATCACCCAGACTGGAGTGTAATGGTATGATATCGGCTCACTGTAACCTCTGCCTCGCAGGTTCAAGCAATTCTCCTGTGTCAGCCTCCCGAGTAGCTGGGATTACAGGCACCCACCACCACACCCAGCTAATTTTTCTATTTTTAGTAGAGACGAGGTTTCCGTGTTAGCCAGGCTGGTCCTGAACTCCTGACTTCAACTGATCCGCTCGCCCTGGCCTCCCAAAGTGCTAGAATTACAGGCGTGAGCCACCGTGCCCGGCCATACATTTTTTTTTTTTTTTTTTTTTAAATAGAGACAGGGTTTTGCCATGTTGGCCAGGCTGGTCTCGAACTCCTGACCTCGTGATCTGCCCATCGCAGCCTCCCAAAGTGCTGGGATTACAGGTGTGAGCCACCAAGCCTGGCCCTATTACAGAGAATTAAAATTAGAGTCTAAAATCTTAGGCTGGGTATGATGGCTCACAATTGTAATCCTAGCACTTTGAGAGGCCAAGGCAAGAGAATCACTTGAAGACATGAGTTCAAGACCACCCTGAACAACAAAGCATGACTCTGTCACTACAAAAATAAACAACTAGCTGGGTGGGGTGGTGTGCACATGTAGTCCTAACTACAGGGGAGGCTGAGGCAGGAGGGTCACTTGAGCCCAGGAGTTTGAGGCTGCAGTGAGCTATGAATGCACTGCTACATTGAAGCCTGGGCAACGGAACAAGACCCTGTCTCTCAAAAAAAAAACTGTTTTAATGTTTTATAGTTTAAAAAATTAATTAAAAAACCTTCAAATATAAAAATAAATCTAAATCCTGTTAAAACTAATACATTTAGCAGAGGGTGGTAGTTCATACCTGTAATCCCAGCATTTTGGGAGGCTGAGGCAGGAGGATCACTTGAGCCCAGGAGTTTGAGACCAGCCTGGGAAAAAGTGAGATCCTGTCTCTATTTAAAAAAAAACAAACAAACAACTAATAAATTTAGCAAAGCTGTAGGATACAAAAACACACAAAAATCAGTTGCATTTTTATATACCAGCAATGGACAATGGACAAACAATTCCATTTATAATAGCATTGAAAGTAACTTAAAAGCTGCTAATTAGGGCCGGGCGCGGTGGCTCAAGCCTGTAATCCCAGCACTTTGGGAGGCCGAGGCGGGTGGATCACGAGGTCAAGAGATCAAGACCATCCTGGTCAACATGGTGAAACCCCGTCTCTACTAAAAAAAAATACAAAAAATTAGCTGGGCATGGTGGCACGTGCCTGTAATCCCAGCTACTCAGGAGGTTGAGGCAAGAAAATTGCCTGAACCCAGGAGATGGGGGTTGCGGTGAGCCGAGATGGCGCCATTGCACTCCAGCCTGGTTAACAAGAGCAAAACTCCGTCTCAAAAAAAAAAAAAAAAGCTGCTAATTAAAAACACAATGAATGGAGGCAGATGCAGTGGCTCACACCCGCAATCCCAGCACTCTGGAAGGCTGAAGTAGAAGGATCTCAAATAGGTATTTGTTAATAACATACCTGGAATTCTTTTTCAGAAATAAGCACATTTAGTTCTATTCGTCCATATTTATATAGAGAAGTACAGGAATATAAGTTATGTATAAGTTTCCAAAGTATCTTCCTTTCACTCCTAATTGGCAACACTCCAATTACTTTTAAAGGGATACCTGTTAGGAATAAAAGCAAAAAGATCTGAATAAAGTTCTTAGCGTTTTGTCCTATGCCCAAATTTTATTGAGACAAACTAAGTTAACAAACTATATTAATTTCAAGTTTATTTCAATTGAAACTAAGCCTCAATATCTTTTCTTGGCATGGAACTTGGCTTTTGGATAAATAAACTGGTTATCTGTGTCCAGACAAGGGAAATGCCATATTCAGATTAAGAGCATTTGCTCATAAATTATAATTATACAAAATTCAGCCAGGCATGGTGGCTCAAGTCTAAATCCCAGCACTTTGGGAGATTGAGGTGGGCAGACCACTTCAGGGCAGGAGGAGTTCAAGACCAGCCTGGCCAACATGGTGAAACCCTGTCTCTACCAAAAATACAAAAAAATAACCAGGTGTGGTGACACACATTTAATTCCAGCCACTTGGGATGCTGAGGCAGGAGAATCTTATGAACCTGTGAGGCAGAGGATCAGTGAGCCACGATCACGCCACTGCACTCTAGCCTGGGTGACAGAGCGAGACTCCATCGCAGAAAATAAATAAATAATATACAAGTTTCATCAACAGATCAGGTATACTGCTAAAAAAACCCGGCAAATTACAGGCAATTGCTTTAGTAAATTCCAAAAATTACCTTCTTTCCAAGGAACCGCTTCTATTCCCAAAGTCTGAAAAAGGTCCTGTGAAGCCATAGCGGGTAGTTTTACTTCTCCACCACCTTTAGGATCCATTTTAAAAAAGTCACAGTAAATCACTCGTAGTTTTTTACCCTGATTTTTTCCTAGAGACTAAAGAGAGACAAAGATGATACATTAAACATTTTCAGCATTAAGTCCACTTTGTAACAATATAAAAAGTCTACTTCAAATAACCAATAATAAAACGTAAAAATAAAAGTAATTACCTTTTTATGAAAAATATTTCTACTTCCATAAAGATGTAAAGAAAATATTACTAACTACCAAAAACTTAACAGAGGAAATAAAAATCAATACCTGAAAAGTGGCAAAAGTAAAATAATATCACCAAGAAAAAGCCCTGTAAACAGAAATAACCTATCATAAATTTTGATTTATCTGTTTACTTTTTTTTTTTTTGAGACAAGCTATCACCCAGGCAGGAGTGCAATGGTGCAAATTTATTAGATGGCTGCAGCCTTGACCTCCTGGGCTAAAGTGATCCTCCCACCTCAGGCCTACAAGTAGCTAGGACTACAGATGCATACCATCATGCCCCACCAATTTTTGGATTTTTTTGTAGTGACAGGATTTTGCCATATTGCCCAGGCTGGTCTCAAACTCCTGAGCTCAAGAGACCTGCCTACCTTAAACTCCCAAAGTGTTGAGATTACAGGTGTGAGCCACTGCACTAAGCCCCATTTACTTTCTTTTTTTTGAGACAGAGTTTCGCTTTTGTCACCCAGGCTGGAGTGCAATGGCGCAATCTCGGCTCACCACAACCTCCGCCTCCTGGGTTCAGGCAATTCTCCTGACTCAGCCTCCTGAGTAGCTGGGATTACAGGCACGCACCACCATGCCCAGCTAATTTTTTGTATTTTTAGTAAAGACGGGGTTTCACCATGTTGACCAGGATGGTCCCGATCTCTTGACCTTGTGATCCACCCGCCTCGGCCTCCCAAAGTGCTGGGATTACAGGCTTGAGCCACCGCGCCCGGCCTCCCATTTACTTTCTTTATCAAAATGGCTTTAGCTATTCAAAAGCTTTCCATGCCACTCTATAACTGCTTAGTAGTGGCTATCAGAAGCACTGGGCAAAGACCCTGACACCATGGTTGGCTTCATATAGAGAACTGTAAGCCATCTGCTTTGGTCATGGGAAGAAAAAATGAAAGATGTTTCACAGTAAAGAAAAACAGTTAAAATATTAAAGTAAAAGGCACATGGATTCAAGAGAGTGCTTTTCTTCTAGAGGAATCTAGTCAGCAATCCACCAAATGAAGTGAGCTCATCTCTGGAATTTTCAGGTACTTTTCCTAAAGACAGAAGCAACTATATACCTTGTTTGCTGAAGAGGTCTAGTATACCTCAGTCTTCTCATTGCTCTGATTTGCTTATCTTGCAAATCTTGCAGCAGTACTAGAGACCTTAGTAGTTAGGGCAAGAATCAGTTACAGACTCCATAAATTTAATTTGAAGTTACAAAAAAAAAAAAAAAAAAATCAGTAAGAAAACAATATGTTTTTAATGTGTACATTGATGTTTCTGTGCATAGAAAATTCTGTTAATATTTATAAAGGTTGAAAATGATATAACTTAAAAGTTATTAATTCAAACACCTAGGTTTTCTTAAGCATTTGAGAAATTCTTAAGCATTTCTCAACCTATGAATATTATCCTATTTCTAAATCTAGTAAAAAAAATTTCTTATTTTTATTGAGGTGAGTCTCACTATGTCCCCAGGTTGGTCTCAAACTCCTGGCCTTAAGTGATCCTCCTATCTCAGCCTCCCAAGTGTTTGTCAAGGTGTGTGATACTGTGCCCAGCTCAAAATCCAGTAAATTTTGGCTGGGTAGAGTAGCTCACACCTGTAATCACAGCACTTTGGAAGGCCAAGGCAGGTGGATTACCTGAGGTCAGGAGTTTGAGAACACCCTGACCAACACAGTGAAACCCTGTGTCTACTAAAAATACAAAAGTTAGCCAGGTGTGGTGGTGTGTGTCTGTAATTCCAGCTACTGGGGAGGCTGAAGTGGGAGAAACAGCTTGAACTCAGGAGGCAGAGGTTGCAGTGAACAGAAATTACGCCACTGCACTCCAGCCAGGGTGACAGAGTGAGACTGCATCTCTAAAGTAAATAAATAAAGAAAAGAAAAAAGAAAAAAATCTAGTAAATTTTAACAATCGCTTTCAAGGGGAGGTTTTAAGAAGACTGGAGGAAGGGAAAGACTGGGGGTGGAAATCATATGTATTTGGTCACGTTAATTCTGAAATAGACGCCTACTATACGACCTACGTAGAGATGCCAGGTAGAAAGCTGTCTAACTGAATAAGGTGCTCAGTGGAGTGGTCCGGGCTGAAGATACAAATGTGTGGGAATCTGGCTGTTGAAGGTAATTTAAGAGAGGGGTCTATACTAGGGAGAAATAGTGGGTAGCCCTGAAGGTGGAGTACACCCAAAATCTAATGACAAGAAACTGAGAACTCAAGTAAGGAGGAAGATCAGAAGAGTGTAGTGTCACGGAAGCTAAAAGAAAGAGTACCCATATAATGCACATGATTGTGTTTAAACTCTAAAAACCAGTCAACATAGACAGCAAGGTTGTACAACCCATGGCCTGAGGGCCGCATACAGCCCAGAACGGCTTTGAATGTGGCCCAACACACATTCATAATCTTTGTTAAAGCATTATGAGATGTATACATGGACCTTCTGTTTTTAAGGCTCATCAGCTATCGTTCATATTACCATATTTTATGACTGGCCCACACAGTTGACGTTCCAATGTGGCCTAGGGAAACCAAAAGATTGAACACCCCTGATTATAGCATTGACATAATCTTACAAGTTACCAAAAAGGCATTTAAATCTTTGTAATTAAGAGAAGCTAATGAATATCCATTTGATGAAAATGTATAAACAGTGCAGGCGTGACAGCTCATGCTCGTAGTCCTAGGAGTTTGAGACCAGGCTGGGCAATATCGCGAAACCTGTCTCTACTAAAAATATAAAAAATGAGCCAGGTGTTGGGGCACGTGCCTGTAATCCCAGCTGCTTGGGCGGCTGAGGTGGGAGCATCACCTGAGCCTGGGAAGCTGAGACTGCAGTGCATTGTGATTACGGCACTGCACTCCAGCCCGGGCGACGGAAGCGAGACCCTGTCTCAGGAAAGAAAAACAAAATGTATAAACAATGAACACTTCATGGCTTCATTACACTTGTATTCTGAAAGGACACCACACATTCTTGCTTTAGCATCTGTCAGTTAACATTCAACAATTTAAACATGATAGTAATCAAAGCTCCAGGATAAAGAATTCAATTCACATGTCAGAGAGATCACATTTGAAAAATCAACTAGATTGCATTAGGATTCAAAAAGAGGAACAAAAAAGAACAGAGAAGAGGCAAGTAACCCTTACGTTTCTACTAGTCATTAAGTTAGGTACTTTCCATTAAGTTTGTCTCATTTGCCAGGCGCGGTGGCTCAAGCCTGTAATCCTAGCACGTTGGGAGGCTGAGGCAGGTGGATCACCTGAGGTCAGGAGTTCAAGACCAGTCTGGTCAACACAGGAAACCTCATCTCTGCTAAAAATTCAAAATTAGTTGCGTATGGTGGTGGGTGCCTGTAATCCCAGCTACTTGGGAGGCTGAGGCAGGAGAATTGCTTGAACCCGGGAGGTGGAGGTTGTAGTGAGCCAAGATCGCACCACTGCACTCCAGCCTGGGCAACAGAGCGAGACTGTCTCAAATAAAAAAAAAACCAAAAACTGTCACATTTAAACCTTACCAGAATCCTGTACAGGTGGGTATTCCCATCTCTTATTCTATATATAAGATAAACCAAGTCTCAGACAGGTGAAATCACTTATCTGCTCACGGGTCTGACAGCTGATAATTGTGAGGGCTGGGATTTAGCCAGATTTGAAGAATTCCGATCTATCTTTGCCAAAATAAGACTGCGTTTACCATAAAAGCTGAGGTCTCTTCAGCTGAACATACACAGCTATTTCTGCAACAGTTTTCACAATTCAAATAGATATACCGAACCATGATTTGTAATTAAGGAATACAATCCGCAACATATATATCTGTAGCACATTCATATTTGAAAGTAAACTGTTTCTGCCTGAAACACTGTCACTGTGGAGTCCTGGAAATTTCTTTTCCCCCAAGACAGGGTCTTAACACCTTGCCCAGGCTGTTCTAGAACTCCTGGGTTCAAGCCATTCTTCCATCTTGGCCTCCCTCCCGAAGTGCTGGGATCACAGGCCTGAACCACAATGCCCTGCCAGAATCCCAGACATTTTATGAGGGAAATGGGAGAGAGAAAATTCTAAATTTAGGTTACCAAAAAAAAAAAAAAAAAAAAAAAAAAAAGTAAAATGTCACCACTGAAAATCCTTTCAGTTTTCAGGAACAAACTTTAGGTTGCCAGAAGCATTATCTGCTAAGAACATCACCTGAAGTCCCTGACTTAGAGCCACAAGAGTTCTGTTTACCCATTGTTACTTCTCTTTTTGTTCTGGTAAATAGATGAATTCACACAAAATTTTATTTGAATGGCTTTTCAATTTATCATAACAATGGTTACTAAAAAGTGAGAGAACAGGTAATAAGGGTTGAGTACAAGTTAGTGCTGGTAGAAAATAAGAACCTTATTAGAGAAAAAACTAGTTCTAATCAAAGACTGGATTTAGTCAATGATGTTTATATTTTTACCTTACATTTATAGCTTTCAGAAACACTTTGTTATCAATATTCCTATCATAATTATTGTTTAGAACATTCTCTAGTTCTTGACCTTCCTTTTTTCATTAAAGCAATTGTTTTAAAATTAAACTGTTACCTTGAAGATCTTTTTTTTTAAATCTTTTGAGACTGAGTTTTGTTCTTGTTGCCCAGACTGCAGAGCAGTGGCAAAATCTAAGCTCACTGCAACCTCCACCTCCTGGGTTCAAGGGATTCTCCTGCCTCAGCTTCCCAAGTAACTGGGATCATAGGCATGAGCCACCAGGCCTGGCTAATTTTTTGTGTTTTTAGCAGATGGGGTTTCACCATGTTGGCCAGGCTGGTCTTGAATTACTGACCTCAAGTGATCTGCCTGCTTCAGCCTCCCAAAGTGCTGGGATTACAGGCATGAGCCTTTGTTGCAGAAATAGATGTGTATGTTCAGCTGAAGAGACATCAGCTTTTATGGTAAACCCAGTCTCATTTTAGCAAGGATAGATCAAAGTCTTCAAATCTGGCTAAATCTCAGCCCTAGCACTTATTACAGGCATCCCCAAACTTTTTACACAGGGGGCCAGTTCACTGTCCCTCAGACCGTTGGAGGGCCGCCACATACTGTGCTCCTCTCACTGACCACCAATGAAAGAGGTGCCCCTTCCTGAAGTGCGGCGGGGGGCCAGATAAATGGCCTTAGGGGGCCGCATGCGGCCCGTGGGCCGTAGTTTGGGGACGCCTGACTTATAGCTTTTAGACCCATGGGCAATTAAGTAATTTAACTTGAGTCTTGGTTTATCTTATATAAAGCCTCAGCCTTGAAGATCTTATAGAAAAAAGCAACTACTGTGTTACAGACTAACAAACTCTATATAGAAACAAAGACATTTTATTTAGTACAGTCTTAATTACTTTGTGAACCTGTAGATTAACCTTTAAATAGGGGCTTTTTTATTTTTTCTCAAACCAGGATAAAAGTTGTCTTCCTGTTTTTAATTTCCAAGTTGAAACTACAGGTGATTACGTTTACTGAATCACATGTCAGGATCTTAAATCTTCAGACAACTTTGTGTTCTTTTTTTTCTTTACATTTTTGAAACTCCACCAGATTTAACGTCAATTAAATAACCTAGTTAAAACCTTGAATTTTTTTCAAAACAGTAAGTTGTAGAATAACACTAATTTAATGCTTACAGTGTTAAAAGAATTAAACCACTGGATCTGACAGACATTTTCACAATTTTTTTGTCATCATGCAATTTTGGATACAGCCATTCTGCATGGTTTCATGAAGTTGGCATAGGGAAGCTTAAGTTTCCTAAATTGAATGTGAAGATTACAAAGAGGGAAAGAGGCTGGGGGTGGTGGTTCACGCCTGTAATCCCAGCACTTTGGGAGGCTGAGGTAGGAAGATCATGAGGTCAGGAGTTCGAGACCAGCCTGACCAACAAGGCAAAACCTGATTCTACCAAAAATACAAAAATTAGCCAGGCATAGTGGCATGCACCTGTAGTCCCAGCTACTCAGGAAGCTGAGGCAGGAGAATTCACTTGAACCTGGGAGGTGAAGGTTGCGGTGAGCCAAGGTCACACCACTGTACTCCAGCCTGGGTGACAAGAGTGAGACTCCCTCTCAAACACATAAAACATAAAAATAAATAATAAATAAAAGAGGGAAGGAGAATGAAAATAAAAGTCTGGCTAAAGATGCAAGGAATTTCCACTTCTTTACTGTTATGTGAATGTGTCTGGTTTTTTTTTTTTTCTTTTTCTGATGGAGTCTTGCTTTGTTGCCAGGCTGGAGTGCAGTGGCATAATCTCGGCTCACTGCAACCTCTGCCTCCTGGGTTCAAGCGATTCTTCCGCCTCAGCCTCCCCAGTAGCTGGGACCACAGGCTGTGTCTGCTTTTTAAGAAGCGCAATCACTGAAAAATCTATTTGGATGATGCCATCATTCTAGGCAACTCTATCTGACTATAGGTTGAGCATCCCTAATCAGAAATTCTGAAATGCTCCAAAATGTAAAACTTTTTGAGTGCCAACATGATGCCAAAAGTGGAAAAAATCCACACCTGACCTTCTGTGACAGGTTGCAGTCAAAATGCAGGCATATAACACAAAGTTGAGGTTATGAAAATCAAAGGGAGTTGTCTAAGACAAAAACCACTGTTAAGGAGGCAGATGACTCCATAGGGAGCATTTTGAAAAGCCAGCTGGCGAAATGTCTCCTTATCCTTAATGAACCCAGTTCCTGGTCCCTACACTGCTTCTGATCTTTCTTCTTGCCTAAGAAAAATAAAATAAAATGTGGCGTACAGTAAGCTTTTAATCAAAACACAGCACACAGGAGACTGAAAGCCTGCCGCTGTGTGCTTCTGCGGTGCGACAGCTGACACAGGTGTTCTGCTGCTGCTGCTGTGCTGCTTAGCTTCTCCGAACACATTTTTTTCTTTTTTTTAATGAAAATCATTAGTACAGTTAAAACAAAACGTGTCAAAAAACACATTTTGTTTTTTGACACGTTTTGTTTTAACTGTACTAATGGTATGTCATTTTTTATTGTTAAGCACTTATGTGTTAATAAGCATAAGAAAATGATGGCTTATCAGGAACATATAAATTCAGAGTCAGGGGCTGCATGTGGTGGCTCACACCTGTAATCCCAGCACTTTGTGAGACCCAGGTGGGCAGATCACTTGAGGTCAGGAGTTTTAGACCAGCCTGGCCCACATGGTGAAACCCCATCTCTATTAAAAATACAAAAATTAGTAGGGTGTAGTGGCAGGCGCCTGTAATCCCAGCTACTTGGGAGGCTGAGGCATGATAATTGTTTGATCCCGGGAGGCAGAGGTTGCAATGAGCTGAGATTGCACCATTGCACTCCAGCCTGAGTGACAAGTGTGAAACTCCATCTTTAAAAAACAAGAAAGAAAGAAAATTCAGAGTCGGGGATCATGATGATGTCAAACAACCAGACTGTGCACATGGGTGGTTGACATAGTGACACCTTAGCTTTCTGGTGGCCGAATGTATACAAATTTTGTTTAATGTAGAAAACTATTTAAAATATTATACAGAATTGCCTTTAGGCCTTATGAATAAGATGTATATGAAACAAGGCATTTTTAGACTCGGGGTCCTATCCCCAAGAGATCTCATTATGTATATGCAAATATTCCATAATATGAAAAAATTTGAAATCCAAAACACTTGTGTTCCCAAGCATTTCAGATAAAAGATACTTAATTTGTATGCCAACCTTTCTTGCCTTTGAAACCCTAAATCTAGAGGTTACATAGACCCAATAAGCTAATATTAGCACTTACTGCAATTAGACTCCAAGCTCACAGAAGACAGGAGCACAGCGCAGCTTAGAAGAAATGAGGAAACAACTCTAGGGATACCAGTCATACACTCTGTTCAAAGTCACCCAACTAGGCTGTAGCCGACCACAGAACTGGCACAAGTCTCAGAACTCCTCATCTGTCTCATCTTTCAGCCATTCAACAAGCACTGAATATTAACTGTATTCTAGTCATTGAGAATAAATAAGATATTTAAGAGACGGCCCCCTAAAAGATATTCTGTTCAGAAAACTGTGTGCTTAATTCCTTAAACCACTCACAGATAGTTGACCGAACAATAACATACTTTTAGAAACTAAAAATATACCTCCAAATGTGGAATAAAAGTTTTGTTACTTTCAAGGGCAACCACCTTGGCACCAACTTCAAGTAATGCCTGAGTCAGGATTCCAGGACCTAGCACATTGACAGAATGAAAAGTTTATTTGCACAAGAAACAACATAATCTCTTTCAATATCAAACTTTTATCTGATTTTAAATCTGACAACATCCCCAAAGTAGATGTCACTCTCCTTTTTACATATCAGGAAACAAGAGTTTAGATATAGTTACTTGACTCCAACATGGAAAAGTGGTGCAGCTTGGCTTTGAAATCACTGTCAGTGACAGCAAAACTCGCACTCTTTCTTTGTTTTTTTTTTTTTTTTTTTTGAGACAAAGACTCGCTCTGTCACACAGGCTGGAGTGCAGTGGGGCAATCTTGGCTTACTGCACACGCCACTTCCTGGGTTCAAGCGATTCTCTGCCCCAGCCGTCTGAGTATCTGGGATTACAGGTGCGCGCCACCACACCTGGCTAATTTTTGTATTTTTAGTAGAGACGGGATTTCATCACGTTAGCCAGGCTGATCTCTTAACTCCTGACCTCAAGTGATCCACCCACCTCGGCCTCCCCAAGTGTTGGGATTTCAGGCGTGAGCCACCGTCCCCAGCCAAAACTTGCACTCTTCATCACGATGATTCACTACCTCTTAAAAGGAAAAAAAAAAAAAAAAAAAAAAAAAAATAGATTGCCTCTAGCCTATCACTTACTCATGGACCATATGGATGCTTTAAACATCAAAGAGATTGTCAAGCCTAAACAGAACTGACTCCCCATAATATGAAATGGTGTTTTAAAAAATTATTATTCAGAGCGTGTGCAGTGGCTCACACCCATAATCCCAGCACTTTCGGAGGCCGAAGTGGGTGGATCATGAGGTCAGGCAATCGAGACCATCCTGGCTAACACGGTGAAACCTCGTCTCTACTAAAAATATAAAAATTAGCTGGGCGTTGTGGCGCGCGCCTCTAGTTCCAGCTACTCGGGAAGCTGAGACAGGAGAATCGCTTGAATCCGGGACGGGAAGGTGGCAGTGAGCCGAGATCGCGCCATTGCACTCCAGCCTGGGCAACAGCGCGAGACTCCGTCTTTAAAACAAACAAACAAACAAAAAAACCACCCAAAAACCAGCATCTTAAATAGCACCCAAGGACGATCAATAAGTTCGAATAAATGATGAACATCCAAGAAAATGCAATCCAACTGGACTCACCTGCACTGCATTCCAGAAATAGATGTGGAGGTGTTGTTTCTTTTCCGCATACGATCTGCGCCATGGTCTCGGCCAATCTCCGATTAGTTATGTAACGGTTAACGTCTAAGGTGGACTTACGCATCACCGGCCGGGGCGACTTCCTGAAATAGGGATTGAGACACAGCTGCGGAGCGTAGTCAGACAGGCCACGGCGGTTCCTCGCCTGCAAGGGCTTTCGCGTCGCCGCTCCGGCCCCTAAAATGCAAAAGCGACCAGCGCCCACCAAAGAGGTGAGCGTCAGCCGCCGAGGAAGCCCGGCCACTGGGATCCACATGTTCTTGCCTCTCAGGCCCGCTGCGAGGATCGCCCAGGGTCGCGACTACACCAAACCCCTCGCAGGGTATCCCACGTGGAAGACTTCCTCGCGTCCAGGCCTCGCAGGCGGAAGTAAACACTATAACCTGCGCATGCGAACAGCGGAGGCTTCGGGCTTTTCTCCCTCACTTCCGCTTCCGTCCCGTCTCAGCCGCCGGAGGATTGTGAGTGGACGGATGAGGAGAGCGACGGAGCATCCGGCGTGTGTCCGCACTCGCACTCTATGGTTGTCCGCGCTCTGCGCTTCCCCTCTAGCCACCGGCGCTCTATGCTCCGCGGTCTGGGGCCTCCAACCGCCAGCCGGCCGGTCGCCAGGGCTGCGCAGAGGGAGGCGGGGCGGGAAGGCGCGCGGTGTCTTCTCCCCGGAGCCGCGGGAGACCCGGGCGGGCTCCGTGACAGCGCGTCGGCCGCCATGTCAGCGAGCGGGGCTGGAGGCCGGCGCGGCGCCCAGCGGTAGCCGTCCTTTCGCCTCCGATTCCCAGGTGAGGAGAGGAAGAGCGGGATGCGGGAGAGCCTCGCCGGAGCCCCGCGCTCCTCCCCTGCGCCGTCCGCCCCGGCGGCGCCGCCTCTGCCCTCGCTGCCCTCGCCTCCGCCCCTCTCGGGTCGCCGGGGTCCTCTCCGTTCTCGGCCGCGCTGGGTCTCCCATTGCTGCGCGTGGCGCCGGTTCCTCCCTCCCTGGGGAGCGCGCGCCACAAGTCGCTCCCCGCCCGGCTCCCCGCGCCTCCGTGCCGCCCCCCGCGGCCCGCAGCCGGCGCCCCCACCCGGGTTCGGGGCCCACGCCCCCCGCCCCCCGCCCCGGCGCCCCGCGCCACCCCGCGCCACCCCCACGTCGCTTGTCCAGGACCGCCCGGTGTCCCCCTTCCGTTCCTCTCTCCGGGCCGGTATGTTCCTTAATGTTTTATTTTCAGTTTCTGTGTTCGAAAGACTGAAAGTGAAGACTAAAAACTAAGATGTAAAAGCTTAACAGCTCCTTTCAAAGCTGAAACAGGTGAAGGCTGGAGAACGCGTGTTTCATTCCTGGTGTGAACTTGGTCAGGCACCGCGTACTGTGGGATGCGATTGGAAAGACCTGATTCTGAAGGCTAAAAATAGGGTGCCGTCCTGGAAGGGCCGGCCGTCGTCTTCACCCATCCAGTGGTGTTGGTGTTTCAGGATCAAACTCAGAAAGAGCTTTGACCCCTTATCCTCACCACCAGGGCAAGAAACGGCAGCCAACCAACTCCTGTCTTAGAATCTGTGCAGTCCTTTCTGCTGACTCTGCTGAGAGCGTGATTGAGTTTGGCATTGAAATGCACAAGGAAAAGGTTCCTAAGGAATGTGTCACCTAGCAAATAGTCTGAAGATTATTCTCAGCTGATGAAGCTCAGAAGAAGTGACAACCGAGTGTGACCTTTTGTGGATTAAAAATTTCTTAGGACGTCGTAGAAAATATCTAACCAACTGTTGTACAAGCTCTGGAAACTCACTCATTGATCTTAATGTCCTTGAATTCTTTTATCATACAGTTTTCTCACTGACAATTTTCTAGAAGTGACTCTCTGAACCTCTCTGCATTACTGAGCTTCCTTCCCCTCTACCCTTAAAAAAACATTTTCATAGATTCAGAAATATAGTTTTTTTCCCCCTCCAGGACCTGGAGTCCTAAATATTTTTAAATCAGATAAAATAGAAGGCTGTCCCCATGGTTCACTTATAGAAATGCGTCGTTGAGTTTCTTACTCTTTAAATATACTTTAAAAAAACACATTGCGTCGGCTGGGTGAGGTGGTTTATGCCTGTCATCCTGGCACTTTGGGAGACTAAGGCAGGACAATCACTTACGGCCGGGAGTTTGAAGCCAGACTGGGCAACATAGACTCTCTTTTTGTTTTCTTTTCTTCTTCCTTTTTTTTTTTTTTTTTTTTTTGAGATGGAGTCTTGCTCTGTCACGTGTAGTGGCGGCTCTCCTTAACCTCTGCCTCCTGGGTTCAAGCAGTTCTCCTGCTTTAGCCTCCCGAGTAGCTGGGATTACAGGCATGCACCAACACACCTGGCTGATTTTTTGGGTATGTTTAGTAGAGATGGGGTTTCACCATATTGGCCAGGCTGGTCTGGAATTCCTGACCTTGTAATCTTCCTGCCTCAGCCTCCCAAAGTGCTGGAATTACAGGCGTGAGCCACTGGGCCGCCTTTGTCTCTTAAAAAAAAAGAAAAAAAGAAAAATAAGCACATTGTGGTTTAAAAAACACTGTTGGGAGCCAAGGCGGGTGGATCACCTGAGCTCTGGAGTTCGAGACCAGCCTAACCAACATGGAGAAACCCCATCTCTACTAAAAATAAAAAATTAGCCAGGCATGGTGGCACATGCCTGTATTCCCAGCTGCTTGGAGGCTTCGGCAGGAGAATTTCTTGAACCTGGGAGGCAGAGGTCGAAGTAGGTGGAGGTTGCAGTGAGCCAAGATCGTGCCATTGCACTCCAGCCTGGGCAACAAGAGTGAAACTCTGTCTCAAAAGAAAAAAAGAAAGAAAAAGAAAAAACACATACTTTAAAATGCACTGTCTTATTGCATAATGTTTGTGTACCAAGGTTAGCCCACCAAGTCCTAGAAAAACTGATGTCATTTTTTATTTTGCTTTTGAGTGGTATTATTTTCTTTTGGTTTTAGGAAGGAGAATTGCATTTTAATATTCTCTTTTTACAGTGTTAATAGTTCACTTGTTTGTGATTGAAGGTACTTGAATAATAAAAAGACAGAATTTTGTCTATCTTATTTTTCTGAGGTCCCAGGTGTTGGAAATGTCCATTTCACCTTAAAGATGAACTTTATGATAAACATTTAGACATACTTTATTAGAAAAATTTGATTAGTGTGCAGTATTTCTCATCTTTTTTTTTAAGAAGTATGGCTTTGTATTCTGTGTTATTGTTGCCTTTTTGAAGTAATCTTTTTTTTTTTTTTTTTCTTTGAGAAAGAGTCTCACTCTTGCCCAGGCTGGAATGCAATGGTATGATCTTGGCTTACTACAGCTTCTGGCTTTCGGTTTCAAGAAGTTTCTCAGTCTCCTAAGTAGCTGGGATTACAGGCACCCACCACCATGCCCTGCTAGTTTTTGTATTTTTAGTAGAGACGGGGTTTTGCCATATTGGCCAGGCTGGTCTTCAGCTACTGACCTCAGGTGATCCTCCCACCTTGGCCTCCCAAAGTGCTGGGATTGCAGGTGTGAGCCACCATGCCTTTAAAATGGTGCCAAGACAAAGTGATTCTGCTGATGATTTTTTACAGTCTCTCAAATTATCTTGTTCTCTCAATTAAGTTGGTAGTGAAGAGAAAATATATATTTTTTCTTTTTGCTTTTTACATTTAAATTTATTTATATCTTTGTAAAGGTGGAGTTTTGCTATGTTTCCTGGGCTGGTCTCAAAATTCCTGTCCTCAAGCAATCCTCCCACCTCAGCCTCCCAAAGCACTGGTATTACAGGCATGAACCACCACACCCAGCATCTTTTGGCTTTTAAGTGACAGCTGTAACTGGGAAATGCCAAGTGATAGTTCTTGCTTGCTGTCAGAATTAAGGCTGTAGGTCTGTAGCAGTAGTTTCAATAGAAATATAATGTAAGCCAGTTGGGCGCTGTGGCTCACGCCTGTAATCCCAGCACTTTGGAATCCCAAGGTGGATGGATCATGAGGTCAGGAGTTCGAGACCAGACTGGCCAATATGGTGAAACCCTGTCTCTACTAAAAACACAAAAATTAGCTGAGTGTGGTGGCATGTGCCTGTAGTCCCAGCTATCCAGGAGGCTGAGGCTGGAGAATCCCTTGAACCTGGGAGGCGGAAGTTGTGGTGAGCCGAGATTGTACCACTGCACTCCAGCCTGGATGACAGAGAGAGACTCTGTCTCAGAAGAATAAAAAAATAAAAAAATAAAAATAATAACATAAGCCATATAAGTAATTTAAAATTTTCTAGTAGTGATATTAAGAAAGTAAAAAGCGGCCGGGCGCGGTGGCTCAAGCCTGTAATCCCAGCACTTTGGGAGGCCGAGGCGGGTGGATCACGAGGTCAAGAGATCGAGACCATCCTGGTCAACATGGTGAAACCCCGTCTCTACTAAAAATACAAAAAATTAGCTGGGCATGGTGGCACGTGCCTGTAATTCCAGCTACTCAGGAGGCTGAGGCAGGAGAATTGCCTGAACCCAGGAGGCGGAGGTTGCGGTGAGCCGAGATCGCGCCATTGCACTCCAACCTGGGTAACAAGAGCAAAACTCCGTCTCAAAAAAAAAAAAAAAAAGAAAGTAAAAAGCAGGTAAAAATAATTTTACTAGTGTATTTTATTTAATCCTGTATATGTTGTTTTAACATGAAATCAATTTTAAAAGTTAATGAGATATTTTACATTATTTCATACTAAATCTATAAAATCTGGTGTGTATTTTATACTTATAGCACATACCAATTTGGACAAGCCACATTTCAAGTGCTCAGTAGTCACATGTAGCTAAATGTTACCTTACTGAGCAACACATATGATAGGATTGTTACATATTTTTATTTTATTTTATTTTATTGTTTTTGATACAGAATCTTGGTCTGTAGCCCAGGCTCACTGCAACCTCTGCCTCCTGGGTCCCAGAGCACTTCTGCCTCAGCCTCCCGAGTAGCTGGGATTACACGCACACACCACCATGCCTGGCTAATTTTTGTATTTTTAGAAGAGATCATGTTGGCCAGGATCCTTCATGATCCACCCACCTTGGGCTCCCCAAGTGCTGGGATTATAGGCGTGAGCCATTGTGCCTGGCCATTCTCACATGATATTTAAGCTGTCTTCCTACATTGAGAGTCTGATTCTGTGGGGTAAATTAAAAACTCCACTTCCTAAATGCTGTGATAATTAGAGAATTTTAAGTCTCTCCCTTGTAGTGTTTTGATTTTGTTTTGTTTGTTTTGAGACAGATTCTCACTTGGTTACCCTGGCTAGAGTTCAGTGGCAGTCCCAGAGCCTTGAACTCCTGGGCTCAAATGATCCTCCCACCTCAGCCTCCCAGAGTGTTGAGATTACGGGTGTAGCCACTGTGCCCAGCCTCTTCCTCTTCGTGTTGACTGTGTTAACGCTGAGCCCGTGCTTGTTTAGCGAGGATCATAAGATGCATAGTGTTCAGTCATTTCCTGGCGTGACTCCTGGCGTGTCATTGTACTAGTTATTTACGTCTGCCTGTCAACAGTGTGTCAAGGCACAGTGTGAGTCCTGCCTGCTAAATCTATTGACATTAAGTAAGGAGAACTTGAGGACTTACGAGAAGATTGAACTTTATTTTGAACAGGTAGAGTACCTGCTATTGTAGAGTTATTTTCTGAATCAGTTTCGGGTAAGGCTAAGAGTTTTTAAAATGTGCTTCTTTATACCGTGGTATTTCTTATCAAGGGAAAGATCAAATCTTTTAGCAAAATTTAGAAAGGAAGAGAGTAAGGTTTGTGGCTGTAGAACACTGGGAGCCTGA